TTTTGTTCTCGTCGGTAATAAAGTCACGCAGGCGTGCCGGTGGTCACGTAGGTCCGCGTCCGCAGGTGTGAACTTTGATTTCTTTGACAGGCAGAGAAGTAATGACCATTACTCACTGGGGCCGTTGCGTATTGATAGCAGCGGCTTATTACAGCGAGACATCAGACACGTCAACCCTTTTCAGTGACCCAAGCACTCTTTCAAAGTCAGCTCGGTCCTGTCCTTCATAGTTGTACTTGTATACGACTGGTTTTGCAATACTTGAAAGAGCCAAGAGCCACATTCTCTAAAAAGCTACTTTTGATGACTGTCTTCAGTGGTGAGAAAACCTTTGAAGGTTTTTGAAGTAGGATTTTAAGGAAACATGTACAGTGTAAAGCCTATATATGAAATAATAGTCAGAAATATAGTATTTTTCTGTTTATTAAGTAATTTATATAATTTATTTATTTTTATTTATTTATTTATTTATATAAATAAAATGTAAATGCTAAAAAAAATCTGTAAAAATAAAGCACAATGAACTATTAATGGTATTAATATGAAATAATTTTCCGTATTGATTTTTACAGGCTTTTTACATGTATTTTGAATTTTGTGCTGCATTGCGTTGTTTTAGGGTTAATGGAAATGTCTGTGAAATTAATTAATAATGTCCTGGCAGAAAATTACTGCTACATTTTATTTATTTATTTATTTATTTACTTATTATTATTATTATTTATTACTGTTTTTTTTTATTACAGAGTATGTATAAAATATATATTTTGACTAAATATAGTGACTAAACAGATTTGTTGGGGGATTACTATATATATTTTAATGAAATTAATTATATACATTTAAAGTGTAAACTTACATTTATTTTTTTTAAATATAATATATAAGTGAAATGTAAAAATTTTAATAATATTTCACATTTTATATGTGTGTGTAACTGATTTGTGGGGGATTTTTTTAATGAATATATATTGTATAATTCATATATACAACATATTGAATATGTATAAATAATGAAAAACTGTATTTAAAAAAAATACTTTTTTGTTTTTAATTAAAAAGAGGGATTACTATAAATTTATATAAATTATTACATTATTAAAATAAATTACATATTTATATAAATTATATTGTATGGAACTTTTTAATAACCTTTTTTGGGTTCAATCATGGAAAAAAATATTAAATGCCAACTTGATTTAAACACATGGTGTTTTAGTGTATTTAGTTAAACTGGACTGCAAGTGGTTTGTCAATACGTAATTTTTTATTTTTGCACTGAATTACTGCATACTATCCTGCTGGGTGTTATAGTTTGCCATACGTCTTGTATTTTGACAAATAATATTAGAGATCAAACATACTTATTATTGTTGCTATTATGATCCATTTTTTTCTATGCCAGAGCTGCGTTTCCACCTTCATCATCAGTGAAGTGTAAATTTAGGCGTGTGGGTCTGTTAAGGTTTCAGACGTCAGAGGCTACGTTTTCTCTGAAGCCCGGAGTAAAGAGCGAACAAAACGGAAAAAGATCAAAACCAGGGATTCAAAGGACCGGAAAGCGAGGGAATCACCCGTGATTGGCCGCTCGTGTTTGTGTCCTTGTTATTCTGAATCCAGTCCATTCAGGACTGCTTGGCCACTCATAAAACGGAGATGTGAGAGAATAAACGCACACGGCCTTGTCTATATAAACTGTGGCAGACAGAAAAAGCGTTTTTGGTTGTGCCTCATTAACTCGTACACTCGAGTGTATATCTCACACCTGAGCAAAATTAGACTTGGAGGGGCCGAACGAGTCACAGAACATCATGATTATCCAAACAGGTACTTTCATAACCCAACCGATGCAATTTGCACGTGTCTTAAAATAAATGTTACGTCTACAGGAAGTCACATGCCAACATTCAACTGTTCCCAAAGAATATCACACCAATTACCATGTTTCCTTCGACTTTGGACTGTTAATCATATCCTGAAACGCATCTAATGTTTGGAAGTTCTCCATAAAAACATACAAATGCTCCAAAAAAACGGGACTGATTTTCAGTTAACGAACGTTTCGTTCCCTTCGTTCTCTGGTTTGTGCGCGAGTGATTTGGTCAGAGGCTAACGACGCTGACATAAAATAATTTTAATTTCACTAAATGTATATGTACTTTGGAATGTATACATCACAATATATAGTTAAACATTTGGAATATATCTGTAAATTGGAATATGTATTTAAATATAAATTCTTAGTATATAGTTACATATTATTGTTAATTCTACATACTTACGTAAATATCTATATGTATAATCCTCAATATTTAAAATATATTAACTTTTTAAAAAATCTTTATAACTTGATATATAAAATACATTTATATATTTATAAAAATAAATTTTAGATTGCATGTGTATTTTACTTAAATTATATACATTTAATATATAGTTGTAATTTCACTATATGTACCTATAGCTTGATGTGTATAAATCAGAATAGTTATAAAGGACAACTTTGATGAAAGGTTTTGATCCACTTCAAATGTTGACTACGCATTGCGTTGTTTTAGGGTTAATGGAAATGTCTGTGAAATTAATTAATAATGTCCTGGCAGAAAATTACTGCTACATTTTATTTATTTATTTATTTATTTACTTATTATTATTATTATTTATTACTGTTTTTTTTTATTACAGAGTATGTATAAAATATATATTTTGACTAAATATAGTGACTAAACAGATTTGTTGGGGGATTACTATATATATTTTAATGAAATTAATTATATACATTTAAAGTGTAAACTTACATTTATTTTTTTTAAATATAATATATAAGTGAAATGTAAAAATTTTAATAATATTTCACATTTTATATGTGTGTGTAACTGATTTGTGGGGGATTTTTTTAATGAATATATATTGTATAATTCATATATACAACATATTGAATATGTATAAATAATGAAAAACTGTATTTAAAAAAAATACTTTTTTGTTTTTAATTAAAAAGAGGGATTACTATAAATTTATATAAATTATTACATTATTAAAATAAATTACATATTTATATAAATTATATTGTATGGAACTTTTTAATAACCTTTTTTGGGTTCAATCATGGAAAAAAATATTAAATGCCAACTTGATTTAAACACATGGTGTTTTAGTGTATTTAGTTAAACTGGACTGCAAGTGGTTTGTCAATACGTAATTTTTTATTTTTGCACTGAATTACTGCATACTATCCTGCTGGGTGTTATAGTTTGCCATACGTCTTGTATTTTGACAAATAATATTAGAGATCAAACATACTTATTATTGTTGCTATTATGATCCATTTTTTTCTATGCCAGAGCTGCGTTTCCACCTTCATCATCAGTGAAGTGTAAATTTAGGCGTGTGGGTCTGTTAAGGTTTCAGACGTCAGAGGCTACGTTTTCTCTGAAGCCCGGAGTAAAGAGCGAACAAAACGGAAAAAGATCAAAACCAGGGATTCAAAGGACCGGAAAGCGAGGGAATCACCCGTGATTGGCCGCTCGTGTTTGTGTCCTTGTTATTCTGAATCCAGTCCATTCAGGACTGCTTGGCCACTCATAAAACGGAGATGTGAGAGAATAAACGCACACGGCCTTGTCTATATAAACTGTGGCAGACAGAAAAAGCGTTTTTGGTTGTGCCTCATTAACTCGTACACTCGAGTGTATATCTCACACCTGAGCAAAATTAGACTTGGAGGGGCCGAACGAGTCACAGAACATCATGATTATCCAAACAGGTACTTTCATAACCCAACCGATGCAATTTGCACGTGTCTTAAAATAAATGTTACGTCTACAGGAAGTCACATGCCAACATTCAACTGTTCCCAAAGAATATCACACCAATTACCATGTTTCCTTCGACTTTGGACTGTTAATCATATCCTGAAACGCATCTAATGTTTGGAAGTTCTCCATAAAAACATACAAATGCTCCAAAAAAACGGGACTGATTTTCAGTTAACGAACGTTTCGTTCCCTTGTTTGTGCGCGAGTGATTTGGTCAGAGGCTAACGACGCTGACGGCGGAGGAGTGTTCGGGAGACGGGTTTTAAGCGGCTAATTTGTCTGGCAGCATCGCTGTGAACAGACAGTGGAATTGTAAAAATGCCCTCATCTCCTTGGCAATATGCATCACTCAAGTCTGTTGCCGTGGCGACGGGAGTATTGTCTCCCCCCTCCCCCCAGCCTTTATTGAGTTTACTCCGGAGAGACAGATTAAAATAACACAAAGTTTTGCTGCAACGCAATTTCTTTTCTGCGACACCCTTAAGAAGGATTGCAATCTCCTTTCACAACTGAACACATGCGACCAAACACACTAACAAAGAGGTATTTGACATACACAACTACATAATAAGGATTTCACATACACATACTCTCTCTCACACACACACACACACACATTACATTTAAATATTTATTATTTTTATGATTAATATCGTTATTATTTTATGTACGTAAGCATGGAAAAGAGAGAGCTTTTATTTCACTCATTTAATTGGGTAATGTTTTTCTCCAGTTGAATTTGATCAAATTCGATACACTATCAAGATAGTATAAAACGACCCCACGAAACAAATCAAACGTGAAGCTGTCTCAAATGTGCATGCAACGAACATCCCCGTGTCTTGTACGTGTATTCAGCAGTATAAGAATAACCTACCCTGCATCTCGTGCCAATCTGCCTCTCGGTGTCTCTCGTGTAGGAGAGATAAGCTTTATCACGCTCTATAGACACTGGTGAAAGTGAACATCCTGTCCTGCCTGACTGCTGCTCCATACAGCCTCCTATCTCTGCACTGACCCAAAAAAACCCAGCAGACTCTGGAAACATCTCACGCCAACACGTCCTGCGGCACTTGCGCTAAACCTGCAACACATAGTTCACCATCCAAAGAGTTAGTTTTACACGCAGAATAAGACCAACTCTTTTTGTTTAAATGCAGAACATGACGACTGAATGTGAATGGAACATGTTTATTTAGTGACTATTTAATTTATGGTTGAACACATCGAATATAAAAGTTATTTTGTCTCTTGCTGAGAGCAGTGATTAAAAACAGCTACCCAATCGGCTAAATTACAATCCTCAAACACTGCAGATGCTGGTAAATAACGCCTCTGGCAGGCGGGTCATTTCCAAGGCAACAGCTCTGAATATGTGTTTTTAATAGTTGCAGACGGAACGGCTCATTTCTTGACGAAGAATCGTGTGATGTCAGAGGCCAGTTTGGAGGCAGCTTGGCCTCGTTTCATCTGACTTCTGTCTTTGGCTTGCTGTGCGGTCCTCTGCAAAACAAACCCACCACAGATTCACCACGAAATACTACAAATGTGTTGCATATTCAAATCAAATGCTGAATATAAATGTAAATTAAATAATGGTATTTAAATTCTGACTTTATTTTAAACGCTATATTAAACAAAATTAAATAATAATAATAAATAAATAAATAAAAATAAATCAGTTAATATGAAATAAAACAATTAATAACAATAACTAATATTTTAATTAAAACAATAAAAACATCCATTTAATAAATGTTGTAATCATTAATAACAATAAAATAAAACAACATACTTTATTATTATTATTATTATTGTATTATATTTATATAAATAAAACCATATTTATAAAATATTTATAGTGCGCTTAAAATGTTTCAAATAATTAAAATAAAATATTGTAAACAGTAATAAATATAAAACTATATAGTAGTGCTGTCAAGTGATTAATCGCGATTAATAGCATCCAAAATAAGTTTTTGTTTACATAATATATGTGTGTAATGTTTATATTTGTTATGTATATATAAATACACACACATTCTGTATATATTAAAAAAATATTTACATGCATTTACATGTATATATTTATATTCGTAAAATTTAATTAGTATAAACACCCATTCACATTATTTCAAATTAATTATTATTATTATTATTATTGTTTAAAAAAAATGAATGTTTAAAATATTTATATAAATAAATAAATAAATATTTTATAAATTTTATATATAACTTAATGTTTTTATTTTAAAATAAATTACATAAATATAAATTAAAAAATATGAATTAAATTCCAAATATGCATTTGTGTATGTGTGTGGACGAAATGCTGTACCATCCGATGGCAGACGGTACAAAGGGTTTGAAGGTTCTCGAGGGAACACTGTCCTCCTCCTCTGTACACGGGGTTAATGTGGTCCACCTGCCAGAACTGTCCTTCAACGGGACTCTGAATCATTTCATTCAGCTGCGACATGCAAACACAGACAATGTCAGACAAATCAAATAGATCTTCAAATATTTCTCTCATGACCGATACAATCCAGATTATTTTTATGTCTAAGTGTCCAGTAAACGATATGCAGAACCCATTTTATTTATTGATTTGCTGATTTTTAGAACAAAAACTTCAATTGTATAACAATAACTAAACAAAAACAACACTATTAGTTAACAATATTTAATAAAAAATATCGTTAATTTTTCATAAAAATACTGATATCAAAAATGTGTATTTGCATCAATTTATTACAAATATTGTTGAAATAATAATAATAATAATTAATAATATACTTTAATAAAAACATTGCCATTAATAAAAAATATATATGTGCTGTAATCATTAATAATAATTACTCAATATGTTATAATTATTAACAGTTCTTTGTTCTATTAACAAAAATAATACTTATTAATAATTAAAATATTTTTTATTCTTTTTAGGATAATACTTATAATTTTAATAAGAACCACCACAACTTAAATAATCATATAAAAAAATAACATATAATATATATATTAAAAAAAACTAATAATAATAACAATTGTTTTTTTAAATGTGGTTTTGGGCTATATGATATATCTAACTGTTAAACTTAAATTGACTCTGTTGTTTCCTGTTGAACGCAATATTAAAGGATCAAAACTACTGATAATCGATGAATACTGATATTAATCCAAGTATGAGTCTATCTTTTAAAGAATACAGCACTTGAAAGTCTCCACCACCCAGAGAGTCTTGAGAGTGTCTTAACAGTGTTGTTGCTGTGTGTAGATCCTTTTTATTCCTGTTGTTTTATTGAACCGCTACATGAAAGCGCTCAGAATAGCCCGTCGGGAAACTCTATAATTCCCTTTATTCCAGTAGACCGCCGCGGCGAAGGACTCCAGGTGTTCAGTAGGATTAAAGCTGGAGTGGAAATCACGAGTGGACGATCAACGCTGGGAACGCGAGGCCCAAGCCCAAGCGCTGGCATTTCAGCGTGCGGCGCTCTCTGGAGAAAACCTAATCAATCCTCTCCTTGCCCCTCAGCAGAGCCGGACGATAATTATCCTGAATCTCAAGGGTCGCGACACGGACGATAACCTTGCACTATGAGAGCAGGACGCTTCCTTACTGGACCTCGGGCATCGATAAGTCAACGTGTACGCGCCAAAACACATGCTAATGCTAGGAAACGACGAACGCGCACGAAGGTTTCTCCGTAATAATGCTTTGTGTGTACGACAGCAGGCTTGTTTGTGCGTCGAGGGCACTTGGAGCTTAAAGCGCGTTATCGATCAGGCCGCTGCCACTCGGGGCTTTAACAGAAAAGCCGAAGAAAAATCAAACCTGCACCTCGTAGCAATGCACTGTGGGAAAAATCAATGGCAATCTGACAGACTAGGCGTTGTGTTAACGCTGGATGCTCCAGGGAGGAAAGGACGGCTGTGTGTGTGTGTGTGTGAGTGTGAACGGCACTGATGATAACTCTATAGAGAGAGTCAGAGAGCAGACGCCCAAGGCCGCGAAGCTCTTATTGCTTCTGCAAGCTAAACAGGCCATCTTTATTTATCTTTCACTGTAAGCAATATTTTTTCAATAAAATGCAGCATCTGCCGAGTTACTCGCGAATGTTTGGGGATAATTCCGACTAATGTGCTTTTGGAAGTGACTAATGCGCGCTTTTCCCCAAACTCTGGCCAACTTCCCAGACGAAATTAGTCCCGGTGCTACGTACACGTCTCGCAGAATCTACCAGAGGAAGTTTTTGAGCAGGAGCTACGAGGAGGGCAATCGACTGCTTCTGTGGACATGGATGAAACTCAGAGATGACTTTTTAAAGAAGATTCTAAAGAAAGAAAAAATAAGAAAAAGATCTATGAAGAGTAGATGATGCTGCTGCTAATGATAATACCTATTATTATTATTATTATTATTAATAATGAATAATTAAGTAATGAACATTTCCTACAAATATTATATTTACTATCATTATTAAAATATTTGATGATATTTGAATGATAATATTATTTTGTGACATTTATGTTGGTTAAAAGAAATATGCTAATAATATGTGTGGCATTTATTACTATTTGTCGTTAACAATAACAATAGCTATTTATAATAAAATAACATTATTAAGAACAATAACAATAAATAATACAAATAATTTTTGAAGCATATTTAGGCAAGCATTACATTTAAGACATTTCAGCTTAAATGCTTTTATAATTATTATTACAAATGATGATAATAATAATAATAATAATACTTTTTAATAATAACAACAACAAAACAATATTATTTTATTAATATTGTGAGGCATATTTAGGTAAGCATTACATTTTTAACTGAAATGCTTTTGTTGTTGTTGTTAAAATTATAATATTATTATTTTGTGGCATCTTAGTTTTTTAAATTAGTAAAAATATTATTTGTAGCATATTTATTATTATTATTAATGAATATTTCTTGTTGTTAACAACAATAGTGGCCACTATTTTTAACATTGACAAATAATAACATGCCACAAATATTGTTAATGATAATATTTTTTGTGGCATATTTATGCAAGCATTACATTTTTTAGAAGGCATTTCAACTTAAAAATACTAAAAGTAATAAATAACAATGGCGGTCTGCTATTTTTTTTTTTATTATACAATCCACAAAAGGGGATAATAAAAAATGTATTTATTTTTGTTATATTTATCCTAGTCTTGACATCTAATAGCTGGGAGAGTGCTGTGACTGCTTTAATTAAGGTAAAATACTGAAACTGTCTTGCGCATTGCATTTCAGTTAAAAAAAAAAAGAATATGCACATTGAAGAGTTTGAGCAACTTTAGCATGTAATGGATGGATGGATGGAAAGAAAGAAATATGGCCAAATATGCAGATGAGGCTCCTAGAAATGAGCCCAACCTGTTTGAGAGGGAGTTGTGCCAGCCAGGTGTTGTCCAGCATCTCCTTGCGGTGTGTGCGCGGGGCGTCCCGGACCTGCACGTACAGCTGGTGGGCATTGAGTCCGCAGTGCTGACACACACCCTGCTCCGTCTCCAGCACGCGGGCACGCATGTAGCCCTGATTGGAGCGCAGCTGGAAGTCCTCCATACAGGCAGGGCTGCAGAAGCCTCCTGCCCAGCCGTGGTGCTCCCCGCTGGGCTTCTGGCAGGACAGACACAGGGGGGTCCCAGCCGAGTCCACGGCCTGCAGGTAACCGGCTGTAGTGTTTGTCTGAACACACACCGAGCTCTCTGCTTCTCTGCAGACACAAACACACATTAGCAAGAAGATTTGCACATTTTCTGAAGAAATATATAAATGGTTCTGGTCTGTAAAAAACACTTGCTGCTATACGTTTATAAGGTTTTCTTGATGGTTGTCACAGTGTTGCTAGGTGGTTTCTAGGGTGTTCTTGGTTGGTTGCTATATATATATATATATATATATATACACATACATACATATATACATTCTTCTGAATATGAATGTTGTCTAATTGTCTAATCCCTTTATGAGAAATTTGAAATTGTTTTACCAATAGATTTGCACTTTTAGAATTATTTAATTTGCAAAAAAATCCACAAATAATAATTATGCATTATTTAAGAATAATAAAATAATTTAATTTTCAAATCAACAGTTTTCAGAAACTATGTAATTTGTGACTATATTCCAAAAAAGCATAAATATGGCACATTATTACTATTATTACTACTATTACTATTATAAGTATAACATTTGCATATGTGTAAATTTTTGTACAAGTTATCATACGTTATATAAAATATTTTAATACAAAACAATATTGTGACTAATTATATTGTAAAAAAACTGCATAAATATGGCACATAAAAACAATATTTAAAAACAGGAAGGGAAGGCGCAGATCTAATGTCCAGAGGTATGCTGTTCATAGTCGAGGACCGGCTACAGAAAAAGCCAGATCCAAAAGCCCGAACAATAATAACAATATTAAAAATGTATTAAATATTAATTAGTTAAGTTATTATTAGTACTATTATTAGTATAAAATATTAATTAGTTAAGTTATTATTGGTATTAGTAATATACATATTGTATTGTGTTCCAAAAAGCATAAAAAAGGGGGGGAAAAAATGCATACAACTATTTTTATTTGGAAAAAAAACTTGCATAATTGTGGCAATAATAATATTAATAATACAAAATATTAATTAGTTAAGTTATTATTATTATTAGTAGTAGTAATATACATAATGTATAATTCCAAAAAGCATAAATCAAACACAAAAATGCAAAAACAACAAAAAAAAAACCTGCAAAAATGTGCCAAGATATTATTATTATTATTATTATACAAATGTATTTTCTGTTCCAAAAACATAAATAAAACTATACAAAAATGCATTAAAAATGCATAAAACTATTTATATTTGCAATAAATCCTGCAAAAATGTGGCAATAATAAAAAATATATATTATTACTATTATATATTATTATCCAAATGTATTTTTTGTTTCAAAAGAAAAAAAATTTCAAACGATACATAAAAAACAGTTCTTAAACATATATATTCATTTCCATTTGTGGATTAGCTACACCTGGGGCAGCAGCCGTCGCGTTTTGAGATCTCATCGCGCGACAACAAAGTCTGATGACTTTCTCACGTAGCCACAAAGTACAAGAGGAAACAGCTGTCACATATGATCAAAAAGCCACGGCGTGGCTGACAGGGCCCATGTGCGCGAGTGTGTTGATGACTTCATCAGCCATTGCCGCGCTATTCCCTCACTGAGATCACACGTGTGGCCACTTCCCCAAAACCCAGTCTATTGAAGGAGTTAGTGTTTGAAATGCTCACTAGTTGATAAGTGGGTGTTGCTATGTGGTTGCTAGGGTGTTATGAGTATATGTTGAAAACTATAAATAATAAAGTGCTTTTTGAACTTGAATTTACTTTGGTATGAAATAACCTGCTGTAAAAAAAAAAAAAAGAAAGAAAAAAATAAATAAATCAAATCACCAGTGTGCTAACCATTACACTGCGGCTCCAACAAGGCATATTCTTTCGCTAACCAATTTTAATGATCAGTGTTAACACGTATGTATGTACGAGACTAGTCTTGATCACACTAACTAGTCTAAACTTCACCAGGAATGACTTTCTCTCTAGTCCTCCATCAGTTTCTATCTCTCTCTCTCTTCCCCCGGTTTCTTCCTCTCCATCGCCTAAAAATATCCAGCCCCAGACAGCGCTCAGTACATCGCAATTTTTTCCTCCCGCGGTTTCCATGGCGACACTGCAGCACTCGCGTGTGTGTGGATTAAGCCCTTATCCTCTGCACTAAGCATTCTTGAACACACTCCACACACACACACTCATATCGCAGCTTTACAAGGTTAACCGTTCGCTGCTACACACATAATTACATGCCGAAATGCACTTTCAAAGTAAATTGTCACTCGCTGTGCAATATATATATATATATATATATATTTTTAATGTGTTGCTATGCAGTTGCTATGATGTTTTTGATGGTTGTTCTTGATGGTCATCTTCTGTAGGATTTAACATTTAAAATACTGACTAGTTGAAAACCAGGTGATGCTATGTGGTTGCTAGGGTGTTATGAGTGTTTTTAATGTGTTGCTATGCAGTTGCTCTAATGTTTTTGATGATTGTTCTTGATGGTTGTCTTCTGTAGGATTTAACATTTGAAATGCTCACTAGTTGACAAGTGGGTGTTGCTATGTGGTTGCTAGGGTGTTATGAGTGTTTTTAATGTGTTGCTATGCAGTTGCTATGATGTTTTTGATGGTTGTTCTTGATGGTCGTCTTCTGTAGGATTTAACATTTGAAATACTGACTAGTTGATAACCAGGTGATGCTATGTGGTTGCTAGGGTGTTATGAGTGTTTTTACTGTGTTGCTATGCAGTTGCTGTGACGTTTTTGATGGTTCTTGACTAGTGTCTTCTAAAGGATTTAACGTTTGAAACACTAGTAGCTAAGTGGGTGGTTGTTAGTGTGCTATGAGTGGTTGCTAGGGTGCTATAAGTAGTTGGTAGGATGTTATGAGTGTTTTTACTGCATTGCTATGCAGTTGCTATGATGTTCTTGATGGTTGTTCTTGATGATGATCATCTGAAGGATTTAATGTTTGAAATACGAGTTGATAACCATGATGCTATGTGCTTGCTAGGGTGTTTTGAGTGGTTGCTAGGGTTTTATGAATATTTTACTGTGTTGCTATGATGTTTTTGATGGTCATCTTCTGAAGGATTTAACATTTGAAATACTCACTAGTTAAGCAGGTGTTGATATGTGGTTGCCAGGGTGCTATGAGTGTTTTTACTGAATTGCTATGCAGTTGCTATGATGTTTTTGATGGTCGTCTTCTGTAGGATTTAACATTTAAAATACTAGTTGATAAGTGGGTGTTGCTATGTGGTTGTTAGGGTGTTAGGAGTAGTTTTTACTATGCAGTTGCTAAGATGTTCTTGATGGTGGATGTCGTCTAATTAGTTTCAATAAGCAGAAAGAAAACAACAAATAAAAAACATCGTAATTTGTCACTTTCTATTGTTAAAAATAAGCAAGTGGTACACATTACTAACATTTTTATCGTTATGCAAATTGAGTTGTTACAAAAAGCAAAAATAAAATGACAGATAATTTTTGCATAAGCTATCACAAAAACAAGCGGTCTTTTGTAACTATTTATTATTGTTGTGCCTTATCTAGATTTTTGCAATATGACAACAATTAATATTATTAATAACTAAATTTGTATAATAACTTTAATAACAGTTATTATTATTAAGGGTTATGGGTGGTCAGACCTGTTGCTGGGGTCAGTAGGTTCGGATGAGGATTGTCTTTTCGGACCGATGTTGTCCTTTTTGATGATGCGGAGAGCTCCGCCCTCTTTCTGGGCCACAGTGATGGAGGTCTGAGCTACATCCTGTCTGGAGAGATACCTGACAGAGACGGACAGAGAGAGACTGTGAGGAACTCTGAGTGCCAGAAAGGGAACATCATGGTGGCATGAAGAGGGCAGTACGGTATCTGCTACCAGAAAACACACACACACAGCTGATGTTTGTGAAACAGAACAGCAAACTGATGCTTGTAATGCGTCGGAAAATCCTTGAATAATACTTACAAAATTAAAAACTACCTCACCAATAATCTCACATTATTCATAGCCTCAGGTGAAACTTTTGCAGAAATAAACTAAAAGAAATTGCAGAAATAGACCAAATAAATAAATAAATTAATTAATTAATTAAAACCCACATGAATAAGACCGAAGAACTGGTTGAAAAAAAAACTTTTTTATATTTTATTTTTTTAATGGTTAAAATACTAAAATATAAGAATATGTGTTTAAAAAATACAAGAAATATAAAAAAAAAACAATTAAAAATTGATTAATTTTAAATAATATAACATTTAAAAAATACATAAATATACACTACTTTTCAATAGTTTAGGTCAGTGAAATTTATTTTGAAAGAAATTCACATTTTTCTTCAGCAAGGATGCATTAAATTAAGTGACAATTTTACATAAGATTTTTTATTTCAAATAAATGCTGTTTTTTTGAACTTTCTAATTATCAAAGAACCCTGAAAAAAATGTATAATGGTTTCTACAAAAATATTATTATCAGCATATTAGAATGATTTCTGAAGGATCATGTGACACTGAAAACTGAAGTAATGAAGCTGAAAATTCAGCTTTGCATCACAGGAATAAATTTAATTTTCAAACATTCAAATATAAAACAGTTATTTTAAATAGCATTAATATTTTACAACTTTACAGTTTTTTGATCAAATAAGTGTAACCTTGGTAAACATAAGACTTCTTTCAAAAATATAAAAAATGTATACAAACCCCAAACTTTTGAACAGTAGTGTATATATTTCAGAAATAGATTAAAAATACAAAAATGTAAAAAACTATAAACTAAATTATAATATAACATATGATGTATATCTAATTAAACGTTAAACTAAATAATGTATAATTAAAATAAAATAAAGGTCCAATGACAGCATTTTGAGTGTGGAGGGAAAACAAAAACAAACAAAACCACACTTAATTTGATTGACACCCACATCTGAGCCAATGAGATTCAGATCCGCCCACACATCCCAGAGCTCTCCAGCTTTAATGGTGTGTGTGTGTGTGTGTGTTTCTTGCCTGGAGGTGCTGCTGTGCCGGCGCTGGGATTGACTGAGCTCCTCTAGCAGCAGGATAGGGCTGTGAAACACTCTTCCACTCTTCCTCACCATCCTCTGCCTCATCGCAGTCAGAGAGATCCACTCGCGCACGAATCGCACAACCTGACAGACACACAGACACAGACACAGACACAGAGACAGAGACACACACACACACACACACACACACACACAGAGACAGAGATGCGTTTCAAGAAATCTGATGAAACAGTACTTGAATATCACTCTCTCTCTCACACACACACACACACCTGACTCCTGTTCTCGCTGTGATTGAATTCTGCTGGCAGTTCCTCCCAATTCTGCAGTCTGATATCCAAGGGAATGAAGTTACAGTGGAGCGGGAGGCCATCCTGTAGAGAAACACACACCAAACTCAGTGCCGAGTGAACATGTATACTGAATATTTACAATATATTGAATATTTTATTGACAATATAAAATTAACCAGCATTATATTTGAAGTATTTTTATTTGACGTTTTTTTTCAAGACTGTACTGTTGGACTAGTTTCAGGCTCAGAAATTTGATTAATTTCTGTGAGTCAGTTCCTATAAACTGCCAGTTTCAGTGAATTTGTTCAAAGTGATTCAATGAAATATTTCGGTCATCACTCAAAAGTGTTCACAGAAATATCTGTGGGGCATCTGACCAGTTTTAAAATGTTTTAGTAAAATAAAAAACTAAATTCAAAAACTATATTTAGCAAATAAGGAAAATATGGACAAGAATTGTTCTTAAACAGTTTGATGCAAACATTTAATCTGGAAAACGTCAGTTATTTATGAATATATAAATATAAATGTATAAATTGCAGATACTAAAAATACAACAAAAGTGATCAACTAAATTCACGACTAACAACCATAGATAAAACTGATGAAAAGGGCAGAAAAGAAAAAAAATATATATTTTGTCTTACATACTTAAACACTTGGTTTTCTATGATATTGCTTGTTAGTTCAGCTTGTCAAAGACGTCAGGTAAAATGATTGGCTAATATAGATGAGATTTAGTAGTGATAGAATTACTTGTAATCGCATCAGAAAGAATGGGTAGAAAAAAAACTGACAAAAATGTACTGTACTGTATTTTCCAGAGTAAGTCGCATTTTTTAAAACTAAAACGTTTATAATGCTTGTAAAGGTTTCATTTTATTTACTGGTATTTTACATTATTTCTGAATGTAATAATAAAACGTGATTATACAGCAATGTGATTTATCGGAGTTTTTTTTTTTTTTCTGTCAACAATGCAATTTTAACCCAGCATGACTTATTTTCCAGAAATACCTTATGTCATCATGATCCAGCAGAAGTGTTATGAATTTATGGAGTTTCTGTAAAATTATAATACTTCTATAATATAATATAATTTCACAATGTAATTTCCAGCTATTACTGCAATTTTTTAAGTGATTTAAAAAAATAAATAAAATTAATATATATTATAAAATAATACAAAATATTACTGCTACATTATTCAGAAAATATAAATTGAATTAAAAATATATATATTTAAAAAATAATATAAAATATTAAATACTAACTAAATTACACATAAAAATAAAATATACATGTATTATATTTTTACAATATGATACATTTAAAAATTACATGTATTTCATATTTTATTTAAAAAATATTACGTATTTTAAATATTACATTTATATTTTATTTATATGTATAATTTACATATAATTATAATATGTATAATTACATACAATACTACATATAAAATTAAAACAATTTATAAAAAGCAAATTTTAAAACAATAGACAATATTTAATACACAATTCTAGATTTATAAAAAAATATGCATTTCATTTTAAAAATTACATTAAAATATTGTTTAAATATATTTTAATTCAAAATGATAAATAATTTAAAAAAATTCAGAGGCAGTGAAATCATTGTCATGCCAAGTATAAATATCTTTGCTCAACTATGAAGGAAAAAAATATAAAAAATTGTACTAAAAAAAAAAAAATACAAAAAATGATGTGAAAATAAAATAAAAAAAACCCACTAACCAAGAATGTACTGATTCACATTCACAGATGAAACTGATGAAAAGGCTAGAAAATCCATAAAATATATATTTATTAAATATAAATGGTCTTATTTGAAATATTGTTAAACAAATTAGTATAAAATAAAAACTAAATATAAAATAATTTTAAGCATAATAAAATTCAACCAATGAGAGCATTTGGGGAGGGCCTAAGACTGCAGCAGCACTCACATTAAAATTATTTCGGCTAAGCATCAACATTCACAAACCACTGTTCACTGTTATTTTTAACAGATAAGAATGCAACGTGCTCCTAATCACGACTTCATAAGTGGGAAATAGGAAGTTTCCGATAGTAGGCTACGTGAAGACAGCAGAGAAGCGCTCTCGCTCAGCACAGTGGAGTGCCGTTTTGTTAAGTTATAGTGAAGTTATCGTAAATCATGCTGCACATATCAGAAGTTCAGCGCTCCGACACTACATGCGTACCGCGCCCGAGCCCAACTGAACCGCGCTCTGGCCCACCTCTTCCAACCGAGCCAGGGCCAGCTAAACGAACCGGAGCGATCACACTAGTCAAACGAACCGGGCTTTGTAGGTCAAACACGCTCGGGCACGATTAAGATTGCCTAGTGTGAGTACTTATTCTCCCGCATCCCGCACACACGAGTCTCTACCTGCCCGCACCTGCACTCGCCCATCAAGTGTTGTCCCGCACCGCACTCTGTTGCGTTAGGTCCCGCGATAGTGCAGGTCTCAAGGTGCCAGTTATAATTTTATGATGGAGGCTCTAGACTCTGAGCATAACTTGTTTTTCTATAACAAACTATAAAATATTTTCTATAAAAACGTTAATGCCCTGGCAGTGGCAAATAGCTTTGGTTTTATATTTAATTTGATTACATAAGTTGAGATTTACAAGAAATATTTTAACTGCTACTATGTAAAATGAATACTGCTGTAAAAAAAGCACCTTATTTGTTTAAAGTGTTTGCAAACCAAATGTTATTGCACTTGTTCATATAGCAGTACTTTTAAATGAAAAAAGTGCACAATACATTTTGAATTCATTATTGAATTTTGTGCATAATGCGATTAATTGCAGAAAAATCATGCGCTTAATCGCAATTAAAATGTTTAATTGTTGCCCAGCACTAATATATACAGTGGGTACGGAAAGTATTCAGACCCCCTTAAATTTTTCACTCTTTGTTATATTGCAGCCATTTGCTAAAATCATTTAAGTTAATTTTTTTTCCTCATTAATGTACACACAGCACCCCATATTGACAGAAAAACACAGAATTGTTGACATCTTTGCAGATTTATTAAAAAAGAAAAACTGAAATATAACATGGTCCTAAGTATTCAGACCCTTTGCGCAGTATTTAGTAGAAGCACCCTTTTGATCTAATACAGCCATGAGTCTTATTGGGAAAGATGCAACAAGTTTTTCACACATGGATTTGGGGATCCTCTGCCATTCCTCCTTGCAGATCCTCTCCAGTTCTGTCAGGTTGGACGGTAAACGTTGGTGGACAGCCATTTTTAGGTCTCTCCAGAGATGCTCAACTGGGTTTAAGTCAGGGCTCTGGCTGAGCCATTCAAGAACAGTCACAGAGTTGTTGTGAAGCCACTCCTTCGTTATTTTAGCTGTGTGCTTAGGGTCATTGTCTTGTTGGAAGGTAAACCTTAGTTCCAGTCTGAGGTCCTGAGCACTCTGGAGAAGGTTTTAGTCCAGGATATCCCTGTACTTGGCCGCATTCATCTTTCCCTCGATTGCAACCAGTCGTCCTGTCCCTGCAGCTGAAAAACACCCCCACAGCATGATGCTGCCACCACCATGCTTCACTGTTGGGACAGGTGATGAGCAGTGCCTGGTTTTCTCCACACATACCACTTAGAATTAAGGCCAAAAAGTTCTATCTTGGTCTCATCAGACCAGAGAATCTTATTTCTCACCATCTTGGAGTCCTTCAGGTGTTTTTTTAGCAAACTCCATGCCGGCTTTCATGTGTCTTGCACTGAGGAGAGGCTTCCGTCGGGCCACTCTGCCATAAAGCCCCGACTGGTGGAGGGCTGCAGTGATGGTTGACTTTCTACAACTTTCTCCCATCTCCCGACTGCATCTCTGGAGCTCAGCCACAGTGATCTTTGGGTTCTTCTTTACCTCTCTCACCAAGGCTCTTCTCCCCCGATAGCTCAGTTTGGCCAGACGGCCAGCTCTAGGAAGGGTTCTGGTCATCCCAAACGTCTTCCATTTAAGGATTATGGAGGCCACTGTGCTCTTAGGAACCTTAAGTGCAGCAGAAATTTTTCTGTAACCTTGGCCAGATCTGTGCCTTGCCACAATTCTGTCTCTGAGCTCTTCAGGCAATTCCTTTGACCTCATGATTCTCATTTGCTCTGACATGCACTGTGAGCTGTAAGGTCTTATATAGACAGGTGTGTGGCTTTCCTAATCAAGTCCAATCAGTATAATCAAACACAGCTGGACTCAAATGAAGGTGTAGAACCATCTCAAGGATGATCAGAAGAAATGGACAGCACCTGAGTTAAATATATGAGTGTCACAGCAAAGGGTCTGAATACTTAGGACCATGTGATATTTCAGTTTTTCTTTTTTAATAAATCTGCAAAAATGTCAACAAATCTGTGTTTTTCTGTCAATATGGGGTGCTATGTGTACATTAATGAGGAAAAAAAATTAACAAATGATTTTAGCAAATGGCTGCAATACAACAAAGAGTGAAAAATTTAAGGGGGTCTGAATACTTTCCGTACCCACTGTATATATATATATATATATATATATATTAGTTAGCTTAGTTAATTTTATACATGCATTATATATCTATGTATGTGTGTGTATAAAATTAACATTATATGCATTATAAAATAAATGTAAAAAATTTCCGTTTGTTTGTTTACAAGTACGTTGTATACAGTGGGTACGGAAAGTATTCAGACCCCCTTAAATTTTTCACTCTTTGTTATATTGCAGCCATTTGTTAAAATCATTTAAGTTAATTTTTTTTCCTCATTAATGTACACACAGCACCCCATATTGACAGAAAAACACAGATTTGTTGACATTTTTGCAGATTTATTCAAAAAGAAAAACTGAAATATCACATGGTCTTAAGTATTCAGACCCTTTGCTGTGACACTCATATATTTAACTCAGGTGCTGTCCATTTGTTCTGATCATCCTTGAGATGGTTCTACACCTTCGTTTGAGTCCAGCTGTGTTTGATTATACTGATTGGACTTGATTAGGAAAGCCACACACCTGTCTATATAAGACCTTACAGCTCACAGTGCATGTCAGAGCAAATGA